GTGGAACATATGGGAGAGATAAGAAGTGATGGAAGCAGGGCAGAGGGAACACAAAATGGCGCCTTCAGGCGATGAGAAATTCCCCACTCCTCCCAAGCTAATTAGAAATTTTTTTTTTGCTAGTGGGTTGGGACTAAGTCCCTTGTACGGCGGCTATTTCTGGCCTATTGTACCATCCCCAGATGATATGTGAGGGTGATTGTGGAGCAATTAGTGGAATAAAGATTGTCAGGGGAAACGGAAGTACTGGGAGAAAACTTGCCCCAGCGCCACTTCGTCCACCACAAATCCCACTTGACCAGACCGCCGCGGTGGGAAGCCAGCGACTGACGCTTGAGCTATGGCGCGGCCCTAATTAGAAACTTAATAACGTTCTAAAAACTTCTTCAAGAAAATTTGAGACGCCGTAGCAAACGCGGCACTGCCGAACTAAATCCATTTCACACTTTTGCGTAACTTCTTGTTTCTGCCAGTTAATATAAATAATAGGAACAAAATATCAGAATAAATTAATTTTTGTTTACCAAAAGTTAAAAAATCCGGTCACGGTAGCCGAGCGGTCTAAGGCATGAACTGTCTTCGCTCGCTTTGAAGCCGGGATCGTGGGTTCCAATCCCGCTCAAGGCATGGACGTTTGATGTGTGTGTTGTCCTGTGTTTCGGTAGAGGCCTTGCGACGAGCTGATCACCCATCCAAGGGGTGCTGCCGTCTGTAAGATGATCATGAAACTGAGAAATCGGCCCTGTGCTTGAAAATGTGAGCGAACGGAGAAGAAAAAAAAAGGGGCGATTTGTAAAATGTCGCGCTCCTAAAATCATGCAACCTTGGAAGTAACCTAAAGCTGGAAGGAAGAGACTATTGGTGAGAACTGGATGTAGATGGAAGGCTATCGCGTTTCTATAAAATGACGAACTTGCTTATGAAACGGGTTTGTTTTTTTGTTTCAGCTATGTCCGGGGAGGCGGACGACATCGGTGACCTAGCCAGCAATCTGAATGGGACAGGTGGTGAGTTGTTTATCTCGTTCAGTCATATACTCGGATGTAAGATAATATTAAAATACATCTTGGAGAATGTGTGTGGAGGTCCACTTCATTCAGTGGACATAGGAGGCGGTTGCCACTGATTGAGGTATCAAATCGTAAAAATGGGGAGTTATACGCGCCCACGCATTACCTGCGTAGGAACACAAAATTCGTCATTCTGTATTTCCCGTGAAATGAGCAGAACATGTTCTCAAGAAAGCATGACTGCTTGTACGTAATAGTAAGTTACTTCATGAATCTCTCATTCATGAGTTTTTTTTTTTTTTNTCGTTTCTTGGGGTGGGGTGAGCCTTAGTCCACTTGGTACGTCGGCCACTAATTTGCCTGTTGTATCAGCCCCGGATGATAGATGATGAATGTGGAGGAGTCGGTGGAATGAGAATTGGCAGGGGAAACGGAAGTACTCGAATAATGGATGATCATTTGAAGAAGTAAAGCGAAACAGCACTAAGATGCATGTACAATTATTTTTTTTTTAATTTTATCAAGGAGAATGCTAATTACTTAGTGGTAGACAGGACTAAGTGAAGCGTGACACTCAAATAGATGGATACCGCCTTTTCGAATACATACACCTCTTCCATCTTCAGAGTTGAAATGAACATGACAATATATTCCTCCCAAGTATTAGTGCTAACTTCTCAGGTTACAAGATGTCACAACCAAGAAGACCGTAATATAAAATTTTAACCACCATAGAATTAAATATTTTATAGTTAAGGGTAGGGGGAACGCGGTAGCGTAGTTGGTTGAGGCTCTATACTACAAGCCGGAAGATCGCGAGTTCGAGTCCCGATGAGGTGGATATTTTCAGTTTACCTAATACTTTCAGCCGCACTATGGCCCCGGGGTCGACTAAGCCTCTAACAGAAATGAGTACCAGGAATCTTCCTGGGGGTAAAGAGGGCCCGGGGTGTAAGGGTGACAAACTTACCGCCATCTGTGAGCCCATTGTCTAGAAAATGTGGCAGCCTCGACCTCTCACACCCCTATGGGTCTTCATGACCTGTTTTAGGGGCCAGTCGTTGCCCAGCAACGGGTCTGTATGTCACAATATATTAAGATAATCACTGATTCCAACCAGGCTAGGTTAATGGGTATAGCGACTAGGCTACCGTCAAGAAAATCGAGGAATCGGGTTCGATTCCTGGCTATGGCAAAAGAAATTCTTATCTCAACGTCAAGACCAGTTCCAGGACCCACCCAGCCTCCTATCCAAGAAGTCTCCCAAGTTTTATCCCCGGGAATAAGCCGGCTGGTGCGTGAAGCTCACTATTCTTCTGCATCTAACTTCAGAGCTAAGAATGCATGAAATTTTACCTCCACCGCCCTATACTCCTTCATGCCGTGGTGTCTAGTTAAGCATGAGGACAGCTTTACTTATACCCATAAAAACAAACTCCGCGGTTTTAGTCGGCAAGCGAACTATACCGACCGAGTCGTCGAAGTTAATGCCAACTTTTGCGGACAGAGGGTGTCGCGTGGTCAGCGCAACGAATCCCCACGGCCGTTAATTTCGGTTTTCTAGACCGGGGCCGCTAGTTTTCCATTCAAGTAGCTCCTGAATTATCCTCACGAGGCTTAATGGACCCCGTTCCAGACCCATTACTCTTGTTTTCTATAAAAAAGTAAAAAAAAAAGTAAAGCTATCCCTGTAACAGGCCGTGAAGGCCCATAGGGTTGTGAGATGTTGAGGTTCCC